AAATCCCTTGAGTTTCATTAGCATGTCAAAAGTTCCACAATAGGAACTTGATCTCGGAGATTATCTATCTACAAGCCAGAGGCAGAGGGAATCCAGGATTTGAACTGCAGAAGAAATCCACTTCCTCTAGTATAGACTCTATGCTATAGACCATTATGCTATAGACCATTATGCTTATCTGGGTCATGAAAATCTTTTTTGTATAGTTCTTCTGGGGAAACAATGGAAACAGTGAGATACTTTATTTTGGGGGGCTCCAAAATCACTGCAGATGGTGACTGCAGCCATGAAATTAAAAGACGTTTGCTCCTTGAAAGAAAAGCTATGACCAACCTAGACAGCATATTAAAAACCAGAGACATTACTTTGCCAACAAAAGTCCATCTAGTCAAAGCTATGGTTTTTCCAGTAGTCATGTATGGATTTGAGGGCTGAGCGCCGAAGAACTGATGTTTTTGAACTGTGGTGTTGGAGAAGAATCTCGAGAGTCCCCTGGACTGCAAGGAGATCAAACCAGTCAATCCTAAAGGAAATCAGTCTTGAATATTCACTGGAAGGACTGATGCTGAAGCTGAAGCTATAATACTTTGGCCACCTGATGCGAAGAACTGACTCANGCCAAGGAGATCAGTCAATCCTAAAGGACATCAACCCTGAATATTCTTGGAAGGACTGATGCTGAAGCTGAAGCTCTAATACTTTGGCCAACTAATGTGAAGAGTCGACTCATTGGAAAAGACCTGATGCTGGGAATGACTGAAGGCAGAAGGAAAAGAGGACCACAGAAGATGAGATGATTTCATGCCATCACCAACTCAATGGACGTGAATTTGATCAAACTCTGGGAGATAGTGAAGAAGAAGGGGAAATCTGGCATGCTGCAGTCCATGGAATTGCAGAGTCAGACACAACTTAGCAACTGAATAACAACACACCCTAGTTCAATCCATGCAAAAATCTGTGTTATCCATTTGTAGACACATAAGCCTAGCCTTGTTAATGAAATGTCACAGGCTACCAAAAACCCAGAAAAATACCCTGGATCATTTTGTCATTTTGATTACATTTCAGCTGAAAGAGTAAGACTTGGAATGATGTCAGCATATAATAATTAAATCTGGCTTAACCAGCCTGCAGGTATATATTTAAGCAAACACAAACATAAAAAATCCTTACATGCACCCGATGGCTTTTTGTTTGTTTGTTTTTTTGTTTTTTAACAGCAAGCACATATTTGGCAACACGTAACAGTTAAGAGGATGGTCATCACTAATTCCTTTGGAATCCATGTAATAGCAACGGTCATGAGAAACCACAGTGGATATAACACACAGTGTGGGTGTATTTCTTTATAAGTCAGCAGCAGTAAAAAGATTTATAATTTCCGTCTTCCTGACATCAGTGGGCAAGGGAGGCAGCAGCCCGGTTGGCTTTGATGAAAAGACATTACACGTCATATGCCGTTAATATGGGTTAACGGTTGTAATATCTTTACCCTGATGTCAGTTACAGCTGTTGCTTCATTCAGGTATGTCAGCAAAGTAAAGCTGTTTGAACACAGGGAGGATGCTCCGAAAGTCATCCACAGGACACTTTCCCCACGTCTTTCATGCTTGCTGCTGTTCCATCAAAACGGTTTAAAGACATTTATCTTTTTTTTTCCCTCAGCTGCAATTTAAACCAGAGACTTCTTTCTCTTCCCTTTCAAGCTTTGATAAGAAGCACCCAGCCTTTTTGAAAAATCCAAGTCAAATCTCCCCACTTCCGGCCCCTTCATCAAGGTCTTGACGTGTGAAGATCTGAATGAAAGATGTTTGCTTGAAATCACATTTCTGGCCGCAGCCTGGCAGGTCACAGCATCCTTGATGTGGATATGATTCTCCTGCTTAGAGAAGCAAGAAAAGGGGGAAGAATTTCAACGCCCCCCTGCTACACACCCCAGACAACTACCTCAGACAGTCTCTTGGGGGTCCCAGGATCAGAACTCTGCCTGAGGCGGCCAGCGGGACTTGAAAGAAACCCTCCGTGCTGGGGGCGATGAGCCAGCCCTGTCGCTACGCTCCATGTGGAGAAAACATTTGCGAGGAGGCGCCTGCTTCCCCAGCAGCCCGCCGGTGGGGAGATGGAATCTCGGGGAAGTTTCTGACAGCCTGTGCTCTGGAGGAGTGGGGGACATCATGTCCACATGAGACAGAGAGGCTGGAGAGACTTCTGAAGTGTTTTGGTCCATGGGGCGACTGGTTCAGCTCCATGACAGCCGATCCCCAAAGGTTTCTATTTAGCTAGACATTCGTGGGTCATGATCAAGTATTGATGAAAGTACAAATGCAATGAGCTCTCTCACGGAGAACCATCTGCTGATAGACTCATTTTATTCACTTCACAGATCATTTCCTTTGCTTTTAATGCACACGCCAACACCCTCACACAAAGCCACAGTGAATCATTTTTTTTTTTTCCATCACACTCCTTAACCCAGAGCCCTCCTGTCTCCGCTGTCCAAGACCCTCCGGTGGGGTGAGGCAGCCTCATGCCTCCTTCTCTTGTTCTGCCTCTGACTTGCCTCACGCTCAGACTGTCGGCCACTTGGTACAGTGAGAGACCAGGTCCATAAGCTGAGGTTTTTATACCAGCAAGTGCTGACGTGGGAGAACTTCAGAAAGAAGAGGATTTTCAACTGCTCTTCAACCATTGGTTGTTTCACAAATAGTTCTTTCAATGAGGAGCATTTCATCTGAGCAAGCATTTGCTGACTCACCCCAAGAGCACACAGCTTCCAGGAAGTTGGGTTGGCAACAGACGCTGGCTAAAAAAAAACCCAGGCAATTGTTTTTCCATTATTCCATTACCAGCTGGCAGAGAGGACAAATCACCAAAATAGGAGTGTCTCCTTCGACGTGAAGGCACGGAGACTGCGGCAAGGCGGCCTGGCGCTGTGACCATCTGCTCTGCCTTCTCAAACGGTTCCAAGTGTTGTCTGGTCCGAGCTCGTGAATATCAGCCACAGTCCCCCTGCTCCTGCAACCTATCACTGCAGATGGTGATTGCCACCATGAAATTTAAAGACACTTGCTCCTTGGAAGAAAAACTATAACCAACCTAGAAAGTGAAGTCGCTCAGTCATGTCCAACTCTTTGTGACCACATGGACTGTAGCCTATCAGGCTCCTCTGTCCATGCTGAGCAGCATATTAAAAAGCAAAGACATTAATTTGCTGACAAAGGTCCATCCAGTCAAAGCTATGGTTTTTCCAGTAGTCATGTATGGATGTAAGAGTTGGACCATAAAGAAAGCTGAGTGCTGAAGAATTCATGCTTTTGAACTGTGGTGTTGGAGAAGACTCTTGAGAGTCCCTTGGACTGCCAAGGGACAGCCAAGGAGATCAGTCAATCCTAAAGGACATCAACCCTGAATATTCTTGGAAAGGACTGATGCTGAAGCTGAAGCTCCAATACTTTGGCCAACTAATGTGAAGAGTCGACTCATTGGAAAAGACCCTGATGCTGGGAAAGACTGAAGGCAGGAAGAGAAGGGGATGACAGAGGATGAGATGGTAGGACGGCATCACCGACTTGATAGGCATGAGTTTGAGCAAGCTCCGGGAGTTGGTGATGGACAGAGGCCTGTTGTGCTGCAGTCCATGGGGTCGCAAAGAGCTGCACACGACTGAGTGACTGAACTGAAGCACATCCATCAGCATTAAAAATCAACTATAATCATGGAGGAAAGAAATTAGTTGAGCAGAAACTAAAACTTAACTTGCAGCCTTGTCCTGAGCTGGCTGTCCAGAGGAAAGCAAACCTCAACAGACATTATAAATTCCTACCCACTACTTACCTCAGGCACCTTAGTTAAGAACTGTCCTCAGGAATACATAACTCAGTGGCATTTAGTCTCAAGTGGGCTTTTACTTGTTCTTTAGATTTTAAGACTTGACATCAGGTTTGCAAAGGCAGGAAGCCCTTTCTGGGCATTTTTGAAAGTTGGCCCCACCCAGGCACTCTGAGATATTTAGATATCAACTGACACAAATCCACTTTTTAGAAAGTGTCACAGAACAGTCTAGAAGTGGTTTGGCCTTGAATTTAAATTATCGGTTAGGAAAAGTTTTGGAAACTCTCTGAAGATATTAAAGAAAAACAAGTAGAAGTTGTGGCAAGATAGCTACCTACAAAAGACTGCCCCAAACTAATACCACGCATTTGATGAGGAATATTTTTTTGTTAAAAAGCATTAAAAATGTAAATAGAAATTCAACATTGTATTCTAGAAGAGGCCTCGTAAGTTCACCAAAACCAAATTAACCTTAAGGGCATGCGTAGCCAGGCTGTCAAAACTGTTTCTAAGAATGAGCGGAGCTTGAGAAAACACAAAGCATTCAGTGTGCATGACTGATTTTTGCTGCAGCAACACCCACAGGCTCAACAGTCTTGCTGGCGCGTCTTCTCAGCGCCCAGCAGAGGGGCTGAGAGATGAACAGCCGGTGGGCTTGTGCTCAGGGTTCTCAGGACACTACATCCACGTCTGTAGAGATGACAATGAACACTAGCTGCTTGCTCTGGGCCAGACGTCCTTCTAAGCACTCAGCTCACACTGGCTTATATTCCATTCCTAAGTAAACCTAAGAAGGCACTGTAACGATCTCCGTTTGATGGAAAGAGATGAGCAGACTAAGCCAAGTGAAATAACCACCCACGCCAGCTCTTAATCGTCCCACACGACCCCGTGCACCCTTCTTTGCCTTCTCTGTTACAGTGGATCCAGGCCCTTGAAATGCTTTCCCTCTGCCCATGCCACGATGCCAGGCTTTGCCAGCAGAAGGAGGAGAGACCCTGCAGGAGAAGGGACCCGGACATCAGGAAGCTCAAGGGCCCTTACCTGTGACTCTGACGGTCCGAAGGTGCTGGCTCATCCCCCCTGGAACTTGGCAACATTTCTCTCTGAGCACCATCTGTACTGGCTGCTTGCTTCATAACACAGAACATGGGACAGGGCAACGATTTTTGTAATAGTTGCATTTATTTCCATTTTTGGTAAAACTATTGTCCTTCACTCCCCAAACACATTTATAAATAATGGACATTGTAAGGTGGAGGATCAAATGGCAGAGTTGGAGCCTTCAGGCCATTTTCAGCCGTGTAACTCTTTTGGGGAGGGGTGGCTTGCCAAAAACACTGATGTGACCTGCAACTCTTTTCCAGCCAATTCTGCCCTCATGGCTTCCGTGGATATAGACTCTTCTGCTGAATGAAGACAGGTGCAAGGAGTGGGGAGGGGGTGGTGGGGGCAACTCTGACCACCCAAGGTCACCGAGAAACAGGTCCCCAGTCTCTGTCAGAGCAGCCGGCTATCTCCAAAGTCACCTCCAGTATTAATGGTAAGACATCCAGAGGGGTTTCAAACACACTGTGCAACGGTCCAAAATCTGGAGTTTGCAGAACTGGCAGAAGTTGGGCATGGTATTTTTAAAGTGATGTATTTAGGTCCTAGAAATTCGATGAAAAAGAAAAAAAAAAAAAAGCCAGTCCCCAGGGATCTAAGCCTGTGAGAGCATAGAAGGCTTTTGTGTCTGGGTGGAAATTGTAGGGGTAAACATCAGAAGCAAAAGGTAAAATTCAGAAGTGAAAAAATGAAAGGACTGTATCAAGTGGGTTCTGTTGGGTTGATTACCCCACTGCAGCCTGAAGATCCATTTCCTCAACGGTTATCGTTTCTGCTTGGTTTAGGTCAGCAATTCAGGAAGCTATGCTTTGCTTTATGGGGGAAAAAAAAAACATCAAAAGTAAAATATGTGTTTCACGTCATGAAGATACGGTTAAGTTTAATGGTTTATCCAGCGTTTGAAGTCATCCCAGGTCCAGGTAGAGGGTCGGTGGGGCAGCCTGTGGTTAGACCGCGTTCCTCTGAAGGAGCTGGTCCAGTAATTGCTGGGGAAGCAGAGACAAAGACGTCAAGTTCAGGCCCAGCATCTGGGCACCACACACCCGTCACACCTGCTGGCAGCCGGTCCCTTACCTTTTTGAAGACCTCGGCCCGGAGTCTGTTACTCTGTAAGATCACCCTTTTCTTTTGCTCCTCTTTTTTCTTCCTCACTTCCGGCAAGTTATTATAGATTCTGAAACAAATTGAGAAAACATTTTGAAATGGTAGCGGGACAGCGTGCATCTGCCAAGGCTCTGCCTCCTGTCTTGTCAGCAGGCGCTTCCATTTCAAAGGGGAGATCAGCCCCCTCTGGACCACCTTGTGTCTTGGAGACCCCGAGATCCGGGGCTCCCCTGCCTGTCTTCAGAGGGGGCTGCCCAGGCGGGGGCTGTGTAGTAGATGGGGCCCCACCCAGGGCAGAGCTGGAGGGGCCAGGGATTTACTTAGAAGTCACTTTTCTTTCTCTCCATCCCGTGATAATTGACCACTTGTTTGTAAAATGAGAGCTGCTAGGCCTACTGATTTGGCCACTCTGCGTGTACGCACGCGCGCGTGTGTGTGTGTGTGTGTGTGTGCATGCTCAGTCAGTCGTGTCCAACTCTTTACAACCCCATGGACTACAGCCCACCAGGCTCCTCTGTCCATGGGATTTCCCAGCCAAGCATACTGGAGTGGGTTGCCATTCCTCCTCCAGGGGATCTTCCGGACCCAGGGATCAAACCTGTGTCTCCTGCATCACCTGTATTGGCAGGTGGATTCTCTACCATCTGAGCCACTTGGGAAGCCCCGAGTGTAAACTTACTTTTTACCAAATACTGTTTTTGCCTCTCAGCTTTTGTCTTCCTGTGACTTGGGAAAGGAGCAGCGAATCTTCGAAAGTAGCTGGGGTCGAACTGCAGCGGCACACATACAAAATGTGTGAGTCTGCCTCTTCGCCTCCCGCATTCCTGAGTAAGCTGACTCCAAACACATCTTAGGCGTAAGCATCACATGCTTGCCCTGGTGCAAAATTAGGAGCTGCCACGACACCAGCAGGGCCTCAAGGAGCCTCCTTCTGGGCCCTTCCTTCCCACCTCCCTACAGAGACTGCGTACGTACTGAGGCCAAACAGGATTTTGGCTGGCATCCATGGACAGAGAGGGGACACACAGCCTGAGCTTTGAGGATGCTGCACTGGTGACATGTGGCTGAACATCTCTTTTATTTTCCCTCATGTTTGAAAGCCCAACAAAATTTAACAAGTTCCCCTATTAAAATAATAATTACAAAGTATAAAAAGATTGATAATGGCAGCATTAGCAAGACATCGTCTTGGTTAATGGGCATTAGGCTAATCATCTTTTTCATGAATTTGTCTTTTAAAATTATCTTTTACTGAATAAAATATAGAGCTGATTTACAGTATGGCTATAATCAGTATAGCTGATTTACAATACTGTGTTAGTTTCAGGTGTATAGCAGTGATTTAGCTTATATATGTACATACATTCTTTTTCAGATACTAGGTTATTGAAAACAGTCCACTTTCTGGTGCTGCACAGTGGTCGTGTTGACTGTCTGTTTTACATGAATAGCACCTATGTGTCACTCCCAAACTCCTGCTTTATCCCTTCCCCACCCTTTCCCCCTGGGAAGCATAAGTTTCTTTTGAAGTCTGTGGGTCAATTTCAGTTTTGCAGGTAAGTTCATTTATTTTAGATTCCAAGTATAAGCGGTATCATATGATATCTGTCTGACCTAATTCACGGAGTATGATCATCCCTAGGCCCATCCAGTGTTGCTGCAAATGGCGCTATTCAACCATTTTTATGGCTGAGTAATATTCCACTGTATATAAGTTTCACATCTTGATCCAGTCATCTGTTGATGGACAATGAGGCGTCTTTCACGTCCTGGCTATTGTGAATAGTGCTGCTATGAACACTGGGGTGCATGCACCTCTTCAAATTACAGTTTTCTCTGGGTATATGTCCAGGAGTGGGCTTGCAGGATCACATGGTAGCTCTATTGTCAGTTTTTGAAGTCTCCTCCTCCTTACTGTTCTCCATAGGAGCTATACAAATTTACATTCCCACCAACAGTGTAGGAGGGGCCCTTACTAGTCTAAACATCTGACACTAATTTTCCCGGGTAGCCATCACACCAGGTGGAGACGCCGTGCAGTGTCCTGTTGTTATAGGAGTGAGGGGCCCCAGGCCCAGCGAGGTCAGGAGGCCAGTGACGTCCCTCAGCTGGTGAATGAGGAGCTGGGAGCCCAGCCTTGGTCTGCTTGACTTCTTGCAACACTGGCCCCCAACCACGTTGCATAAAGTAACCCAGGAACTGCTTGCACCCATCAGAGTGGCTGGCACAGAGGGCGTCAGCATGGTATGAATTACTGAGTGCATACACGACTGCCAAGCCCAGGAGCTGTTCTAGAAGGAACCAGGAGCAGGCCGTCAGGATCAGTAGGAAAGATGACATGTCCTAAAGCTCCATCTATTGTCAGTTTTTGAAGGCTCCTCCTCCTCACTGTTCTCCATAGGAGCTATACCAATTTACATTCCCACCGACAGTGTAGGAGGGGCCCTTACTAGTCTAATCATCTGACACGAATTTTCCCGGGTAGCCATCACACCAGGTGGGAGACGACGTGCAGTGTCCTGTTGTTATGGGAGTGAGGGGCCCCAGGCCCAGCGAGGTCAGGAGGCCAGTGACGTCCCTCAGCTGGTGAATGAGGAGCTGGCAGCCCAGCCTTGGTCTGCTTGACTTCTTGCAACACTGGCCCCCAACCACATTGCATAAAGTAACCCAGGAACTGCTTGCACCCATCAGAGTGGCTGGCACAGACGGCGTCAGCATGGTATGAATTACTGGGTGCATACACGACTGCCAAGCCCAGGAGCTGTTCTAGAAGGAACCAGGAGCAGGCCGTCAGGATCAGTAGGAAAGATGACATGTCCTAAAGATCCACAGTGGAAATCCTTCTGCACCTATAGAGACACATTGTCCCGATCTTAACCATCTGACTATGTGGGGTGTTCAGGATAAAAATTCCTAGGCCTCAATCCTGGAGCTTCTGCTGCAGTATTTTCCTAAAAGAACATCCTTAACAAATTATTTTTCATTTATGCAACGGACTACTCTGCATCAGTGAAGAAAATCATCCATATCTATATCTTCTGACACAGAAAGACCCCACAGACATAAAGTAAAAGAAGCAAGTTATAGAAAGATAATACATAGCATGATCCTATTTATGGTCAAAAATTAGACAATTGTATATGTAACAAGTAATGTCTGTTTTCAGGCAGAGAAAAAGGCATGGAAGGGTATAAAGGATGCTGATACCTATGGTGTCTCTGGAGGCAGGACAAGGTTGGGGAAGTGGGGTAGGAGGGGGGATAGCTGGTCATGAGGGACTTCAGTTCTCTCTCCTGTGCTTGAATTTTTAAAATGAAAGTGCAACTTAGTAATAGAATTAGTAACAAAGAACATGAAAGAAACATTATGATTCTGCAGGGGAGTGAAGTCTGAGCCGGGGTCTGGGCCCACTCAGGGCAGACCACAGAGTAGATGCCTCTCTGACTGTGTCCGAGGAGCCCAGCTTCCAGCCAGGGAAGCCACGACAGGGGACATAGCACCATTACTCTCTGGTCCTCTCAGAGGCAGCTCCGTCTTCACTAAGATGACAGGGCGATACTCTGTCCACAGATGCTGCTTTGAGATCGAGCCTCCACAATAGTGGCTTTGGGCTTAGGGACCAGGAGGGGACCATTGGCTGAATTTTCCACCAAATTGAAAGAGGAATACTTTGGGCATGAGGTATACACGGCTTCATACATCTGAAACAGCAGGTCTTGACCCCCAGTGGCCCTTTAAACCCCCAGTTAGAATGCTGTGAAGCCGGTGGTTAACGGGAGGGTTCTCCTTCCCACCACTGACACTTTTTTTTAAAATTTACAGAGAGATTCCCTACAGATAATCAAAGCTGGCTAATGATCATGGAAACAATATAATCATGGGAAAAGCAGAGATTTTGTGCCTAGAGTGGGGAGAAATGTACTCTTCCTGTTTCAATGGTTTCTCTCAGTTGCCCTATCAGTTTGGTTTAATTATTATAATCCCCCTCTAATGCCAGATAGTTTATTATAAACTAATGACATGTTACTTGCATGAACTTGGCGAACTCTGCCGGGTTATTACGTGTGGATTGGGAGGCCTGAGCTCGGGAAGAATGGCAGCTTTTGTGTGCTGGTGAGAATGAGGGGGCGTCCAGAACTGCAACTAGCCAAGCAGGACACAGAGAGCTTGCGGCAGCCAGGCACCAAGAAGGCTGGCTCGTGGCCCTCTGTGGCTCCGTGGCCCCCTCACACCATCCACCTGCAGGCCTGGAAGCTTTCCTGCAGGCCCAGAGACCCAGCTCCTCCCCCTCTTATGAAATTACCTGTGAAGGTGCACAGTGATAAACAGCACCTGCCTAGAGCAACGGCAGGAACACGCAGAAGTGTTTCTGTTGAGTCTGGGGATCTCTTAGAGACCAATAACTGGACTGGTTCAGAACTCAAGACCCACCACCTTCCTAAGGGTTTTCCAAGAACGACATCAGCATTCAGAGGTGCAATTCGGCAACTGCACTCCTTCGGGCCAGCTTTTCAAATTCATGAAGAGAAGACCTCAGAGCTCAGACGTGGACCGAGACGTCATGGTCCCACTGGACACTGCCTGGATCCAGCAAGCCACCCCTCCTTCCCCCACTTTTTCCACCTCACACAATACAACCAAGTACCTTTTAGATCGCATGTGCATCTCCTTCTCTGAAATGTACCTTTCTTTGGGCTTGAACAAGTTATCTGGAAAAAAAAAAAAGGAAAGATGATTAATTTCAGAATATACGGATGTTGCACTTACCTAGAAAAACATCACAGTGGGCTTGCTTGACTCTCTGTTATCTGTCCTTAATCCAAGACCAGCCTGATATAAACACTGCAGGACCCAATAGACACACACCACGCATGACTGTATCAAATTCGGCAACCTATAGGTTGGCCTTGACCACAGTCAAACACAGCATGAAGTTCAGGGTCAGCTCTAACAGACTTCTTGGGCAGTGACTGCAGGCTTCACTGAGCAACAAAGAGTCACAGTTTACTGGGGACGTGCCAGGGCAGCACAAAAACGTGTTTCAGCATTGCTCTGGGTGCAGGGCCAGGGAGGTGGTCATCCCGTCCACAAAGCAGTCACACTAGGTTTTTGGTGCCTCTGAGGCCACCGAGGGCAGGAGCTTTCACTCCCAACTACAGTCTCCATCGCGGATGCTCGGCCTCTACTCCCTTTCTAAGGGGGAGGAATCAGTCCTTTCCAAGGTCAGAAAATGTAACAGAAAACAGCATAAAACTAACATCTGTCTAGTGTCCTTTGAGAAGCGCCCAGTGGCTACACATCACCAAGTCTGGAATGTCTTTTAATGAAAGTACACATTGCTAATTGCAAGGATGTTTACAGATGGCACTCATAAAAATGGTCTGCATTTTTTTTTTTAGAAAGAAGAAAAAATAGTGAGTACACTTTTGATACAACTGTGAGATGCCTGAGAGACTCTTGGCCCTATAGATTAGCCAAAAGTCTGGCACCCCAAAATGCTCCTGGGGTGCTTGCTGCACGGGGATGCATCTGAGTGGCTATCACTGCCCGGAACACCTGGATGGTAACCAGCGCACCAGCCTTCACTTGGCAGAAGTAGATGGTGACTCAGCATCCTTCAGTCATGGAACTGAGGCAGGCTCCTGGCATCCTCAGCCAAGACCCCACCAGGCTTCAATCAGCCTCCCCACCTGGGCCTCTTCCCCGTCTTCAACACTCCAACAGAGCCATTTCAGATACCCCAAGCTTGAGAATGTGCAGAAATTTTTAAGAATATACAAGAAGGCAGACCAGAGGCAAGGATATGAAGAAGTCTTTTCCCGTCTGGGGAACTATAACTCAGCTCTGATTTACAATATGGAAACGACACAGTGGCTGAGCTTGTCTTCTGTCTGGTTGTAAACATAAAAGATGGTACCGTTACTCAACCTCAAAGACAAGATTCAAAGGAGAACCAAGAGAAAGGAGAAAGAAATCAGAATTTTCACAGTGAAGGGGAAACATTCCCAGTGTTTGGAAAGGCATGAACCAGGAGAGTTAACCTCACCATGAGGACTCTGATCTGCCAAGACACCTCCCAGTGCCCACCCTCCCCTCTCGATCTAGACAGGGCCAGGCCAGAACCCAAGACCTCAGGAAGAGCCCAACAGCGTTCCAAAGAAATGGGAGTGTTGCCACGGCAGTCAGGGTCTCAGGCAAGCAAATATGTGTCTTCCTACAGACTCCCACTCCAGGGAGAAGGAGCCGCCTGCAGACTTAGATTCCAGTCTGCACCAGCATTCCTCAGGAGCGACTCAGGATGAGGGAGAGGCTGGTGTGGACCGAGGCAGGGTCCCCAGGGGGATAGAAACACTATGAACGGCCTGTAAAACACTTAAAAAAATCTCAGCTCAATTGTCTGTGGTCTCCCCGAAGATATCAGCTCTGTTTTTGTTTTGGTTCAGTTTGATTTATTTCTTTTAAGCACCTGATACCACAATGAAGCTTTGGTCTCTTTTCCAAGAGGAAACACAAGCGAATGTGACTATTGGGCACCTCCTCTGTTTTGTTTTCTGAACTCTTCTCCGCCCCCTGTGCCTCAGCACAAGCTTCAATTCTGCGTCCAGCAGCCAACTTAGGTGCAAAGCAAGCAGGTCTGCGTCCAGGAGTGCTGACCCCAGCTGGCAGGCTCCAGCCCAGGCCTCACGCTGGTCGCTGTTGACCTTGAGTTTTCCTAACAGCACCAGGCTCATGGGATGAGCAGCGCGGGAAGAGAGGAAAAGAACAAGTCCGCCTCCCTGGAGGAATGGTTTGAAATAAATCATCGTGTGTTGTAATGGCTTCCGACCTCATTAGAACAAAGAAAGAAAAAGAAAAAAGCACATTTGGCTCTTTGAGAGGGAAGCGGCCGGAAGAGGGAGGGGGCAGTGCGACACCAGAGGGTCAGCACTACCAGTTATAATAAACTGCTAGGATTTATTGGATCTCAATGGGTCTTCACACCGACCCTGTGACAGGCTCGTCATTTTTGCATTTCAGGGTCAGAAAATCAGAGTTCAAAGGGCCAAGGGTCCTCTGCCCTGGGTCATTCAGTGAATGAGTGAGTGACAGAGCTGGGTTTCAGTCCAAAGGAGTCCAGCCCTGCCCACACGTGCCCTCAATCTCAGAACATGGTCACCAACCTATGGTTTCAGAATCCACCTTTTGGGAGCCCTGACAAGTGCTGGTCAGTTTCCCAGGCGATCATTCCAAAATTTCTTTCTCTTCCCCTTTCCTCCTACATTGAAGGAGCAATGACTGTGCCTCCAGGGGATGCTCAGAAGGAAAAAAACACTGATAAGATCTTGCCACCGTGAGACTTCAAGATTGAGGGAGGAGCTGGATAGTGAACAGACCAGCTACAAAGTATCAGGTGAGTGTTGTGATGAAAATGAATTGCTGGCCACTTGGTCAAGTGGGGGGGGGGGGTCAGGAAGGCCCCTTGAGGAGGATGTATTTCACTATAACCCAAATGAGCTGGCTATGGGGGCCATGAGGGAGAATGAGGAAGGATCAGGCGGCCACGGCGCATACAGTGCTAGGAAGGAGGGCGTGAGAAGGCAGGTGGGGGACAGAGGTGAGAGCAAAGACCGCTGTGGCTCTCCACCCAGGCCACACTCCACCACCATCTGCAGAGTCTGACCATGATTCCCACGCATCGGCACTGGATCTAAACCAGAATCTCCCATGGTTCTAGTGGGCACCTTGTAATAGGGAAGAACAAATCTGACTCTGTATTAGATCCATTCCATTAATCTTTGTATCCTATTGCTTCTGCTGTGAGTTAAGAATGTTCCCGGAAGCCTGAAATATATAGGAGAGCCCCTTTTCAAGGCTCTGACCTTTAAGGGTGTAACACTCTGCCATTCATATAGAGATGAAAAGTTGCAAAACAGAAAATAACATTTGTCCTGTTGGAGGTTTATCAGGAACCTCATGACACCTGCAAGAACAAAGGGTTCCCACACCCAGAAGTTTGCCAGAGCCAACGCCTCCCTCACTCACCATGCCTTTACAAATGCTTTGTGGAAACCCTTAGGGGAGGTTGGACTTGGGGGCACAAGCCACCCATTTTCCTTATACGGCCCTCCAATAAACCTTTCTCTGCTCCAGACCCCATATTTTGGGTATTGTTGGGCCACACGATGCTTGGGCACACAAACTTGCATTTGGTAACTGCTGGAGGTGGGAACCATCCTTGCTGGGTTTTGTAAGTCTGTTGACGAGAATTTCAAGTCTATTGAGTGTTCCTCAGAGTAAGAGGCAGACAGCCACGTGAGGTTTAAAGTAGGGGCTCTGATTTGGATTCCCAAAGGATGGCTCCAGCAGCTGTTCAGAATATGCACCCACTGCATAGAGTAAGGCCTTCCTGGGTGGCTCAGACGGTGAAGAATCCGCCGGCAATGCGGGAGACCTGGGTTCGATCCCTGGGTTGGGAAAATCCCCTGGAGGAGGAAATGGCAACCCCACTCCAGTACTCTTGCCTGGGGAATCCCCGTGGGCAGAGGAGCCTGGCGGGCTGCAGCCCAAGGGGTCGCAAACAGTCGGACGCGACTGAGCGGCTCAGCGCACCAGGCAGAGTCCCTTCCAACTCGGGGGCAGGGAGACAGGTCGGACTGCTGTGGCTGGTAAGCAGCGCTCAGGACAGCTGGGAAATAGGGGGACTCGGGACTCAGCTGCACCCGCGGAGCATGAGCAGAGCGGGCTGTGAAGCTGGGACAGAAAGCCAGATTTTATGGGGGAGGGAGGGAGGGGGAGTCTGGGGTTAGCAGAGGCAAACTGTTATATGTAGAATGGATAAGCAACAAGGCCCTACTGTATAGCACAGGGAACTGTGTTCAACACCTTATGATAAGCTATAATGGAAAAGAATACGAAAAAGAACATGTGTACACACATGTATAACTGAATCACTTTGCTGCACAGCAGAAATTCACACAATGTTGTAAATTAACTATAGTTGAATAAAATAGAAAGAAAGACAGAAAGAAAAACAGGCTTTGGGTGGGAGCCACCCTCCATCTGACTGTTTAACTTTCACCTGTTTGGGGCCCGGTAGACTCAAGGATCAGTAAGACAAAGGACTCACAGCCCAGGGACAGAGCCAGATACACGTGGCCTTCAGGTGTCACTACTGACATCTGCATCGGGAGAGGGCTCGTGGAGGCTGTGTGGTCCATCATGGAAGGGATGCAACTGGGGAGACTTCACAGAAGGACACAGCTGAACTGAATCTTGAAGAAGAAAGTGGCGTCCTGATAGTGAGAGGGAGTCCAGGACTGAGGTGGCCCCGGGTGGAAACACAGCAAGCCTGCGAGGACCAGCCTACAGCAGGAGATGGTGCTTCAAGGAAATATGCAGCTGGCTTCACTGGGGACCTCGTTTTACAGGATGGAAACCATCCTACACGCACTTTGCTCAAAGATACAGTGAAAGCCCATCTATCCATACCCTTTTAATGGGAATTCTGCCTTTATAAAATTAAAGTGACTGGTGAGAAAAATTTTCAGCCAGCTTATGGATCTTTTATGGATTTTCCTTGAAGCTTCGTGTATTCTAATTCACTAATACGGAGGAAAGAACTGAGGCTGTATTTACGTCCCATTATCATTCAAATAGAGCACGCTTCCCCACCCCCCACCCCCCTGCCCAACCCCCTGTTAATACAATTACTAAGGTAGTAAATTGCCCA